ATTTTTTAATTTAATTAATTATTACAGCATTTTAATTGATAAAATTATTGAATTTGTATACAAAATACAACAGTAATTACCTGTCTTACTTAAAACTTAAGTTAAAAAAAAAACAAGAGAAACAGAAGAAAGAAGCGAACGGTTTTTAATATTGTTTTTTTGAAAATGACGGCATTTTTCCCTTATACAAAATCGGTACATTTTGCAAATTTCAAAAAGTCAAGTCAATGACGCACGAAGCTCTTCTATTGTCTTATATGGCGTTTTATAGATTTTATTTTACATGAAACTTCATAAGAAAAAATCCAAATCGACCGAGATCAAGGAGGACCGTCTTACAGGTCTGTAGGTACTAATCTATCTTTGGGGAGTGTTATAGTCTAAAAATACCCTTGTCTGTAAAGGGCTAATGGAATAGCTAAGAAATTCTATAAGAATATCTGAATATCTTCGATAAGTTTAAAGATAAGTGAGATACGGGGGTAGGGGGCTCAAAGATAATACTTTTTAATTCCACCCTGTATCTTAACAAACAAAAGCGATATGAAAATTCTGCTCGTGCTATTTTTAATTTCTATCTTTAAAAATAAGGGAGATACTTCACAAGAGTGCGGAAAATGGGATGTACATGAGTCTTCACACACATCACCTTTAGTTTGCCGTGCTTAAAACGTCAGATCCTTCAGATTGGCTGCGGCAAACAGATTATTTAATAATTTACTTTCGTAATTGCCTAAAAAGAGCGCGGAACTACGTGGGAGAATTTTATTTGAGACCCGCCTACATGCGCGCTCAAAAAAGTACTTTATATTCCTTTGCTCTGCGTGCCTGAAACAATACCGAAATTTAATTAATGATGTCAAATGCAGGAAGTTCATTTGATTTCCATTTTGTATTACAACATGCAACGGACACCGAACAAATGAATAAACGACCGATTTGATGGCTACTTTGATTATGACTATGACAATATGAGAAGTTCGTGAAACTATACACATATTTGGGTCGTAATTAATTTTATGCATGTTTGCTAAAGTATAAAAATAAATGCTCGATAAAAACAATTAAAAATGCATGGCATAAAACAACATAAAACGCCTTACAGTTCTATGAAACCACAACATAAATTCATTAATACAATTAAATTTATTTTTAATTGCGTTACCTCTAGGCAAAACGTATTAAATTTGATTGGTAAAGTAAAATACAATTTTTTAATATTACTCAATACGTATTTTACCTTTTTACGCCATCTTCAGTAACAGAACAGTTGCTAAATTAATACTAACTTTATGTTAACAAATTGTATTTAAAAATTATCGTGTTTATAAGAGTGAGGAGTCTTGAAAAACATAAATTTGATAATTTGCTTACTATTAAACAAAATATGGTGAATAAAATGGTTATGATTAAATTGTTTCGACCTTAACTTGATGAAAATCTATAATCAAAGGAAAACACAGACTAGATTTTCATTTAACATGTCTACTCGCTATTTTGTGTTCACTGTTTTCTATCTTCTAGAAAAATATGGGAACTTTGCGTGACCTTTAAACCTTCCTATTTCATTTATTTCCTGTATATTCAATGGTAAACGATTCTACAAGCAATATTTCGATTTATTAAGAGTTAGATCGTTATTGTTAGTACAAGTATTTAAATTATTTAAGTCACCCTGTATACGTTTTACATTTATAGTGTTAGTTATAGTATATCATCTACATATAAAAAGCACATGGCAAACCTGATAATGTCTTTTATATCATTGATGCAAAGTAGAAATAGAACAGGTCCTAGACGGGAACCCTGTGGTACGCCAGAGGCTGCATTAGTTACCACTGACACCAAAAAGCTTTGACCGACCTTTCAAATAGGCTCTGAGCCTGAAATGTAGGTTCCCTCATACCAAAAATAAATGCATTTCTTTTAAATATTTTTTATGATTCACTATGTCAAAAGCTTTACTAAAATCTAGGTAAAAAGCATCGACCTGTTTGGAATGTTTAAATGCAGATAAGATGCAATCACTAAACAATATTAAGTTCGTTAATCTTGATCTAGAGGAATGTAGTCTTTTTTTGTTGTCGTGCTTTTGGATAAATTAATTGGAAAATATAATATGAGTATTGATAATAAACTAATAAAGAGCATTTCATTTATACTATAACTTTTTTAATTTAGTTTTATGTAGCAATATACCTCTTCCGTTTGTTTGTTTGTTTGTTTCGTTACGCAGAAAAAGTGAGAATACCTATTAGTATTGTGTTCTGCATTAGACATTTTCTTGACGCTGGTAAACTCCCACACTCCAATTCTGCCTTTGCCACAATTGAATGTACACAATTATTTCTTCTTACGCTATTAAGCAATTCGGTTGAAGATATAATTTTTCCACCGAGGAAAACGCTGAACAATACGAAGCTTTCTCATAATGTTTAATGACAAACAAACAAAGTGTAGCAAGAGGAAAGAAAGATTGGTCAAATGTAAAACATTTTAATTGTGATCAGAGATTAATTCTCTAATTCGCAATCGATATTTATTATCAAACCTGAATTGTTTATTTTAAATCGGAGTTTCTGTCCAGAGTATTTCTATTGTCCTACATAAATTCCGTCCGATATATGTATAGGTACCTTTTTTTTCTTGCTTTCGGATATAACTATTAAATGATTCAAATATGTCGTCTTTGAGTGTGTAAAACTGGGATAATAGCATTCGTCACAAAATGTTTTTGTGGATTTCGAGAAAGCAATCCATGTTGTAGTGCAATCTGTCTTTATTAAATCAAGGATAAAAGGTTGTGGTTTTCATCTAGGCCAAGCTTGGTATCGAAAAATTAAATTTCTTGGTCTTTTACTGAATATAGAACAAAATCAAAGGTCATAATCATCATAAAGTCGTCGGACTGGTTGGACACGCACCTCCACTCCTTCCTATCCTGAACTAATCTTCGCATATACTTAAAACTAGAACATTTCACATCCTTAACTATTTGTGAACAGTAATCTAATCTACGTCTGCCTCTACTCCTCTTAACTCCTGTTTCTGCCTCTAATATGTCTCTGACTGGACCTTCATGGCTGAGAAGGTGTCCTACCAACCTATTTCGCCTATTTTTTATTGATTTCCATAGAGTCGTCTGTTCTCCTATTCCTATTCAGAGATGGCAAGTTTTATTAAGTGCTTTCTTGGATTCTCCTATCTTAAAACTAACGATGTCGTTCGTGTTTTTACTGATTTTTTATTGGCAGATTGGTAAAAGCTTTCGAGACCGACAGGTGAATTGATGCTGTTTTGATTCAGGTCTAAAGACCGTCGTCGGTTGGAGTTATTTCCTACCGTTTCGCTAGCACGAGTGACGAACTTCTTCAGAGGTCCTCCCATCTCCGATGCTGGATATAGACTAGTCTACTAGGACTACGAAGCAACTCCAACCGACGACGACCTTTATTAGACCCGAATCAGGACACCGTCAGTTCTTTATTAGCATTTCTCCCTGAAGATCGACGAGTGAATCAGTGAATGATTTTTGTGATAATATTCTAGACTATTATATATCTGAGGAGACATTACTTCCTCCAGAAATATGGACGAATGATACTAATAGAATTTTTTATTAAAT